TAAAGTATTATTAAAATCGTAATTGTTCCAAATTCCCGAATTCCTGTTCCAATTTACTGAAAATCTAAAATCCAAGATTTATGCTTTTAATCGCATTTTCTTTTGTTATTTGTAAATTGAGCGATCTGCATCGATGACTGATTAGTCAGAGAAATTTGGAATTCATGTCTAATTACTGTTAAATGTCATAAATTACACAAGAAAGTATTAATAAAAGAAAAAGCGGAGCGTAATGCCGCGATAGGTGTAAAAATAAGATTCACGGTAACAGAGATTGGTCGAGAAGGAAAATTTTTCATAAAATAAAATTAAGCATTATGAATGCAAATTGTTTTGTGCAAGGAAAGTTGGACGAGATAATCTACAGTCGTAAATGAAGCGAAGCAGCAGCAGCAACACTCTGCATTTTCATTCTGCAGGTCCCTACGTAGACTACGACTATGCCACGATTTTCGCGTACATACGCTGAAAAAAAAAAAAGAAAAAGAGTTTCTTTATAACGAATGCGATTTCGTAACTATTAAACGACGGCTGTTATCGAGAGGTGCACACAACAGCGGTAATTTATCTTTACAGTTAGAGAGTAAGAAGGAGAATATTTTCCACTCGAAACTCTTACTTCGCCAATGAAATTTCACAATAGTTAAAAGTGCCGAATTAGCCGAATGTACAATTAATTTGAAATATCTTTTAATTATACAAAATGAAATATTCTTTTTATGAGTTTCGAGATGGATGTTCTATCTGTTGTTTCTTTCTTTTCCTTTCTTTTACTTTTTTCTGTCAAAATTTAATCTCTAGTCGATTCATCTCGTCGTACAGCACAAAAGCCAATGTTATTTAGACGCAATCCAAATAAGATTCCTAGTTTCCATTTCATACGACATAAGCACTAGTCGAATAAATTTTTGTTTTAATTTTCGTTGCAACATTTTATAGCAAAATGTATCCGAAGAATTTAATTGGAATGTAAGTTTTTCCAACTTTTTAAGAGTAAAACTTAATAAAAGTTTAGAAATATTTGTTACAATTAGAGTGTATTTCTTAATACAGTTTAACCTACATATATTATTCATTTTGTTAAAATTAGAATTCTGCTTGAATAATAAATAATTCATATACCTATTCGTTTACAAATAAAATAGGTTGTGTTTTGTTTTCTTTCTTTTTTGTTGTTGTTGTTGTTGTTGTTATTTATTTATTTATTTATTTATTTATTTTTTTTTTTTTATATATATATATATATATATATATAACTGAAAAATCAAACTTATTTTAATATATTTCTCTACGCATTTAATGTCCTATCGACAATTATTTCACGTTTAATATCGCTCTGCTATATTTTAGGTATGATTAATAAATTATATCTTTATTCGTAGGTTTTGTTTAAAGTGAAAATAAACCTAAAGCTTCCCGCGATTCGTTTACAATAATAATGTCTAAATACCGCTGAACCTTGATATAGTAACCTCTAATCTGATTAGATTACAAGTGACAAGGCAGTAAAATTGCTTAAATTGTAAAATATTATTATATTGACTCAATCGGCAAGTGTAAGACCTATATTATGTTTATGTAAATGATGCGTAAATAGTGAATGATACATGTACGTCTCATGTATATTGTGTTACAAAATTAATACTGGATGCACGGTAATTTGGCATATTGTCAAATACATTGTAATATATTTAAATTTAATAAACGTAAGCCGGTTTTTCTTTAGTCTCTCTTTTATAACGAGTAAATTTTGTTGAAATAGTAGAAGAAATTAAATACATTTTACTTGAATAATACGAATATTTATAATGGGAATGAAACGTGGCAAGCGTTTGAAGTAATAAACGCAATTTTCATACAAACCGATGTCTGTCATAATCGCCTAATATACCGTTAGAATATTACGTATCAGAAAATACATTAATCTGGAAGAAATGAATTTCAAATTTATGAACCATTAAATATTCACTTAAGTAGTCTACTCAACTACGGTAGATATTTATTTTATTTATTTTTTCATATTCACATATTTACTTTTTCAATTATAATAATATCCTTAAGTAATACATTGCTCTATTATTAATTAATTAAAACAGACGTTCTCTTGTACAAACCATAATTTTGATTATAAATATAATGTGATCTCCAAAGGCTTAAATTTACTCTTACTCGGCAAGACAATTGAACCCACCTAACATTAATACATTATAAATCCTCTATTAGAGTATGATTAAATGACTTTGTTGTTGTTGTTGTTGTTGTTGTTTTTTTTTTTTTTTTTTTTTTTTTTTTTTTTTTTTTTTTTTTTACTAATTCCCCGAATGTATACCTTTAGTAGCCGATGTACTAAAATAATATTCGATATTAACGAATAGAAACTGTACGCTTGGTGGTGAATAGGGAATCATAAAATTTTGCATTTTGCCCCAAGAGTTGGAAATTAAAAGAATATGATGGAGTCGACTTGAAAAAGTGCCCACCTCTTTTCGTCCTAAATTCATATTAGAAAAATTTTTTAAAATGAAAAAAAAAAATCCACCACCAACTGATTTGGTAGAAAAAGATTTACAGAATTTTGGATTAAAACTTATTTTGTCCAATGCGTATGTCCATGCAAATTATACTCATTTTACGAGAAGTTTTTGTACGGTAAAGGAGAAGAGCCTTGGCAGGTAAGGTACGCATAACGGATTCAACAATAATTTCCTTCTCTAAAGTCTCTTAAAAATTATTTAAAGCTCATAATACATCTAGTACTAAACGGAACTTCAAAAGAATAATTTTTCTCCTAACTCCATAACTATGAATAACTTCAGTCGCATTACTGGGACGGGAAAAATGGAAAAATCCTCACCGCGTCGAAAGGTTATCACCCTCTGTCGGTCAATCCAACAGCAACGCAAAGCCAAAATAATGGAGCTCGATGTATGACTAGGAGAGGGAACCTTTGCTCTAAGGTCGCCGGAAAAGCAGTGACTCTCTCTCCTCTCCCCGGGTGTTTCCCAGCCGGTACATAAGGCCTCCATCCGCGTGCAGCTCTTACCCGTAGATGCGCCGCTTTTCTTCTCTTCTCTCTCTCTCCCTCCCCCCCTCTCTCTCTCTATCTCTCTATCTCTCTCTATCTCTATATCTCTCTCTATCATCTCTATCTCTCTCTACTCTCGCTCGCTCTCATTCGTGTCCATTGCCTTTGTCGTCGTATATTGCCCACCCTACCTGCGCACGTCGCACACACACACTCTCTCTCTCTCTCTATCTCTATCTCTCTCTATCTCTATCTCTCTCCATGCGATTGCCGCCGGGTTGCCCATCAACGCGTATTAGTGTTATCCGTCGGAGGAGAGTAAATTAGGCGTCGATTAGATTCGGCACTTACGGCGTTCTGGTACTAACCCATTCATACATCTATCTCAACGACTCGCTGGGCGATCTATCATTGCTCCTATCCATAACCAAACGATTTTTCAACTAATTTGCATTACACCTCTCATGACCAATCGCTTTATGAATTGAGCATTTACCGATGCACGGGAAGTGAATTCACATTAATTGAAAATGAGCGAATGATGACGGCCAAGCGTCGATATTTCACGTCCGCGGCATGGAAGCGCTCATTTGCCAAAACTTAGAAAAAAGTTCTTTCTTTTTTTTTCTTTCTGATCTTAATCACGTACTACGGTCATAAATCAATGATTTTACCTCATTTGACAGCGATGATTTAGTACGCTCAAGTGCCGTATGTGTAACTTACCTGCAACATAAAGAAAAGTCGTACGTTATATACAGGTCTATTAATAATATAGTTAAGTTATATTTGGTTCGGTTACGTATTAAAGAATATTGGCTTGGACTCCCAATCAAAGTAATGTAACTACTTCATAGATAAACGAATGCAGCTAACTATATTTTAATGATGTTTTTGTCATTAAAATGTATTAAAATGATTAAATTGGTTGTAAATGTTAAAGGTCTTATAAATATTAAGTTAAAGATCGTAATAAATGTTGTTATCAAATAATATTCACTTATTTTATTAACTCTATTGTTTGAATTATTATTGATTATGTAATGCGTTTTCATACTGCAATGCTATGCAGTATCGATGTTAAATTAATTAAATTTCTAGATATGAAACAATGTGTATGAAATTTCCATTAATATTATTCATTTGAATGTCGGCACCACTAGTTTTTCTATCCAATTGAATAAATATTATTTTGTACAAATAATTATGCATTTTATGATTGTAATCGAATACTTTCGTAAGCTTTTAAAGAATTGTAGCAAGAATATTACCACTTACTTAATTAACTTTGAATGTGGATGATTAGCTACCGGATGTGCAGTCTTTATTATTTAACTAAATTAAATTCTCGAATTTATGCGCTGAATCTTATTGGATTTAAAATGACGTGTAATATATGCAAAAACCTGATTAATAATAATTTATATCATAGACTTATGTTATAACTTATAAAAATACAAATACCTTCCTCTAATACAGGAATTTAGTAACACTGTGATTATGTTTTATCGAATATTTGACTCTAGGCATTCGTAAAATTATGTATACATACAAATACACGCACACATCTAGATAAACGGTTTGACGGAGACAGAGAGAGAAAGAGTATAGTAAATATTTGAAGTCTATGCATGTAAGAAATAGAAACAATGAAACAGGTCTTATTGATCGACTAGCCAAATAGAGACTGTTTTTGTTGTCGAGCGCGCCTTACGTAATCAAAGTTAACGTTTCCATCGACAATAATATTTATAAGTCGTTTACCGTGTGCAGCGAGAAAATTCGTTGATTTTCCACAATCGTATTGTGTACTGGTACTCGTGCAGCAGAATCTTTCTCGGAACGGCTTTTTTCGCCCTCGCCCTCGACCTAGCCCTGGCCCTCGTCAACGCCTTCCCCCTTCCCAAATCCTTAAATCCGTGGCTAATTTAGCGTCGAATTTAAAACGGGATAAAGATTATAATGCGTTCAGTACCTGAGAGAGTTGGCCCTGTGCGTGGCTAGAGGATGAGTTGCGCTGATGATCACGTAAAGTGGCATTTTCGCGTCGTGCCCAGTCTATTCCCAAGGCAGTCGGCTGCCCGCACCTGACGGCATTCGGCATCGACGACGACTGACTGTTGTTAATCGCATTTTTACTCGACACGTTGCTCTGACCACCCTGCGAACACGTACAACAGAGTTTTCCATGTCAAGCGTCAGAGATCGACAGTCGCTTTTCTCTCTCTCTCTCTCTCTCTCTCTCTCTCTCTCTCTCTCTCTTTCTCTCTCTATTTAACATATTGCTTTGCTTTAATTCACTCTCCTCGCTCTTCATTTGCTTTTTAATTTGCAAATATTTCAATGCGAGGGAATTCCATGCTTAAAGAGTTGCAGCTCTGGGATTATTAATGGCCCTTCAATAGGTTTACGGAGGAAAATGGATTTTGCCGTTTAGAGTACAATAAGCGAACTAATAAGTGATAATTGTTAAGCAGAGTATGGGGCATAAGCCAACCAGTCAATATATATTTATCCTTCAATATTTCACAACTCACTAGCTACATTTAACGTACATAATTACGCAATATTAAGCTTCAATAAAGCGCCTACTTTCTTATACACACAAATACCACAAGTAAACCGAAAAATCAATATTTCCCAATAAATATAAAATATAATATTAACATTGTTAATAGTGATATAATAAATTTCGATATAATAAGCAGAGAGTCTTCGAGAGTATCATTCAACATTTCATTTAAACGATTGATAATTTAGTATATGTAAATGTGCGCGTCGATCACAAAAGTATTTTCCTAAAGTGGAAAATGTGTGTACGAGCATAGACTTTTACATTCTTACGAAAATAAGCATTTCTTCTTTCATTCTTTCCTTCTTTCTTTTCTTTCTTTTTTCTTCTTCTTTTTCTTTTATATTACATATCTCTTCAAAACGTACCCTTAAAATAATTAAACATGTTTATGTAGGCATTATTCACTGCATAAAAGTCCAACAAATCGCAAAGTAAGCGATAAGAAAGACGTTAGCTGGATAGGAACATGTTCACAAGCAATGTCAACGTATATGAGTAGAGAAGGACTTTTATGAGCAAGTTTTTCACATTGTATAAAGCGATATCGCTTACTTGACCGGAACAGGTGACTGTTAAAGGTGAAAGATGACGATGAAAAATCAACAGGGTAAACTTTTCATGCAAACTCAATATTTTATTGAAATTTGGTTCATATTATTATTAAAACATTAGTAATCAATTTAAAACGAGTGTTATTAAGTTATTTTATGAAACACTTCAAAGTAGAGCTGTTTGAGTCTGGTTTCTGTTTGGAAAATCATTAATGAAAGTGACCTACTACTACTACTACTACTACTACTACTACTACTACTACTACTACTACTACTACTACTACTACTACTACTACTACTACTACTACTACTACTACTACTACTACTACTACTACTACTACTACTACTACTACTACTACTACTACTACTACTACTACTACTACTACTACTACTACTACTACTACTTGCTATACTTCAAAAGATTTATATAAGATATATATATATATATTATAATGCATATTTTCTAATAAAAGTATGCCGTATTTTCTGTCCGACACATTTTTACAAAAACTATAATTCATTGAAAATATAATTTGAAATGACGATGATTTCATGAAATTAAGTAAATCTTGTAAAAGATTGTAATCAATATTTACTTGTATGACTTTTAAATCTAATTTTGGGAAAACTTACAAAATTGAAAATTTAATGAAATAAGCAATTAAAATACTTATATTGAATTATCATACAAAAACAAAGTAGCTCATTCTCATTACCATAATTCATTATGTTTTAATTAGATATTATATTATTGATCTTGTATTGTAATTTTTATATTCCATATGACGTTTGAAAAGTTCACATTGTTATTTAAATATATACATCTTTCAAAATATCGCTAGATTATGCTCGAAATTGTTTTCTCTTACGATATCACTTTTAATGTTTCATCCTAACAAAAATTCAACCCCAAAAATCCTACCAAACTCAAGAAAATACCCAAGAATTCCACTATTCAACTATTAATGCATCAGATTTTTCAATTAAAATAGAATAATCAAATCACCAGTCAGGCCTAAGCGATTCGATCCTACCACAATCATTGCTTCTGTAATACAAGTATAAGAAGAAACATACACTATTACCATATCAACGGTTCGTATAATCCGGTAAGGGAGAGTCGAACCTTACATAGTCTCCCTTATACTCTTCATTATAATACATACACATGCATACAAATACACAAACGCGCGCACACACGCACTAGTATGCATGAATCATATAAATGTGCACGATAAAGCAGGGACCTGATGTGAAGCGAATTTGCTCGCGTGATCGGCTGCGCAGCCAGATGCAGATAGATATACATCGCTGCAAAGTTAAAGAGTGAGTGAGTGAGAGCGAGAGAGCGAGAGAGATATGAAAAGCTACTCGCGTGAACTGGGTGAAATTCAAAGTGTAGTCGTGAGCAGCGGTGATACGTAGCCCGGTCGGTAAAAACACGGCGATACCACCACCTCCACCACCATCACCGCCACCACTGCCCCCAACACCACCGTCCTCGCCACTGAATAACTGAGTCAGCAACAGTAACAGCAAGTCTAGAACCAGCACGTAAATTCGCTACTGATGTAGGGAATGGGAGAAGCGAATCACAAAACTATAGGGCGCTTCGAGCATAGCAATAGTATATTCTCCACGATATGCAGGAACTCTTATTGTGACGAGAGGTGAATTGAACTTCTGTCTTTTATTTTCTTTTTAGGTGGCAAAGTGTTGAAATTCAAATGTCGAAAGTGATACTCGAGAACGAATTGAAAGTAGCGCTGAGATAACCGATTGCTTTGGATTTCTGCATAAAAATAGATTGTAGAAGTAGAGCTTTGATGTTTTTATATTGTAGACAGTTCCTTTATTTATATTAAATTTTTATTAAATACTGAAGGCGCACACTATATTTGTCATAATTTTAATACTATATTGCCATCATCGTATTGTTAATATCATTCAAATTAAAAGTTTCGTGCATTCAGTTCATTAGTCCATTGCGTATCTTTAACTAAATTTATAATTATCGAAAAGGTGTAAGAGTTTAATTAAATCGTCGCTAATGGCAACGATACTGTGTAGAAATTCGCTTACGAATAATATTTCATTCAAATTATCATCAAACTGCCATGTTACTCTGAATTACAACGACTTTATTCTAAAGTAGACAAATGTTTATAAAGACGACGTAAGAAATGTATTAAAGTGTTTTATCGTAAATTGAGCGTTTTAAACGAGAGAGAGAGAGAGAGAGAGAGAGAGAGAAACAAGTTGGTATAAGTTTTTTTTACACTTAGATTGTTGTAGACTCTTAAAAACTAAGCGAAAATTAAAATTGAATTTTAAGAATTTTCATCATAAATTTGTTCTTTTTTTGTTTTATTGTTGTTGTTGTTATTGTTTATGTTTATTACTTAAATCCAAGTGTCAGGTCAAAGTCAACATTGCAATTTATCACCGGCATTATGAGATGGGAATTTTCATACACGCAACAGTCAAGTAGCTATAATCGTTCTAGCGCAATAAGTACTTGAGGAAATATTCAATTTTGTCCCGTAAAATCGGGAATCGCGCTGGAGAAAGTACAGCAGATAGATGATCGATTCATCGATATTCCATTGAATCAATTATCGCCCAATATTCGAGAAAGAAAAATGGAAAGACTAGCCGTCACGATTCATCCCGCCCTATCATCCATCCCGAAAAACCGTTCCTAAGCGAAGATAATCCGGAGAGCACATCTTACGCGATTACAACTTGGTAGCGTGAGTGGCTCATCACATGACACCTCGATGGTAAACAGAAAACGTTTTCGCCGCATATCGCGAGGCCTCGCCTCTTGAGCGTCGATAATGTTACACAATGAAAAGCGATTGCTCGGTGAATAATAAAGCCGGAACGAGCGAGGGCGCAAGGGAGAACGAGAGAGAGAGAGAGAGAGAGAGAGAGAGAGAGAGGAGAGAGAGAGAGAGAGAGTGAGTAGACGGCGTTATACACGTCGTCGATATCACTGGCGCCGGAGCTGCTGTTGGCTTGTCCGAAAGAAAAGGCAGCAATGTCGCGGCTAAAGGGGCGGACGGTAATGCAGATTGCTAAGCCGACAGCGGGGAAGTGAGAAGAGCAGCCTCAGGTTAGGCAGCGTCGTTGCTCGCGGTCGCGGTAGTGGCGCATATTCTCCCCCTCCCCTCCACGCGCCACCAATGCTTTCTTTCTCTCTCTCTCTCTCTCTCTCTCTCTCACTCTCTCTCTCTCTCTCTCTCTCTCTCTCTCTCTCTCTCTCTCTCTCTCTCTCTCTCTCTCTCGCTCTCTCTCTCTCTCTCTCCCCTCCCTCTCCCCTCCCTCTCTCCCTCCCGCCCCGCCGACAATCTCAATTTATTCCTTTTCCCCCCTCGCTGTTGCGGTGGCCTAAAGCTAACTTCACCGGCTTTCCGCTAGCATAAATCGAAAGTAACGGACCGTCTGGTTATTTTGTCGCTGGAGAAATTGACAGTGGCTTCATATCGATGATTTGCCAGTAAAATTTCGTCATTTGAGCTATTACCAAGCGGCGGCTTTGTTACTTAAATCAGCGCCTTCAATCATGTATAACATTGCACGTAGCCTCCCACTTGAGGAATTCTTTCAATCTTAAAGCGAGATAATTACTCGGCAATGTTGTCAATTTGGCGTAAACCATTGTGTGCACCACTGTCTGCCTATTAAAAGTCCAAGTGCATGTATTTTATAGAGCTGGTCCTCGTTCCAAGAGGGTAAGCACTAGCAGGCAGTCCGTTTCCTCCGACTTTGTAGGCTGACTTTTACCAGGGCTTAAATACCAGGGCTGCTGTGTTTCCCTATTAGAACCAGTGACGCGAGCTGCTGCATTGCGTATCGGTCTAACGTTAGCCGCGCCATCTTCTTATCATTCGAAAGTTTCGAGGGCGATAATGGGCGCCCCAGGCTCGTCGCTCGAAAGGACTGTGGAGGAGGATCGATCCTCGTATCCTGAAAAATCGTTCCCGGCTACTACCGACACCGATGACTCGTATGTAATAGCCATTCACGTCG